TTCTAAATCTCACAGTCAATAGTTCTAAGATAAATTAAACCTATAAATAAATAATTTATTCCATATCAGCTACTAGGAGGTTAATCTCAGAGGAATTTGGTTTTCAATGCTGTGTTAATAGCTCTTCAAATAAATACTGATTTTAAGAACAGCAAAATGTAAATATGATTCAACATAAATCACAACTATGCTATTTTGCTTTACCATACATATATTCTTGTAACGTTATACTGCTCAATTTCAATTATCTGCCACTTTAATGAGTAGGGGTTGAATAAAAATAAGATGTTATGCTTTAGTAATTGCTGAGCAGGATGTGAATGAGATAAATAAATGGTCAAAAAGCACAAGCCATTCTGACTCTTTGAATTTCCTTGGGATCCATATTTGAATTATCAAAGCAATTAACCTGACCTAAGTTTCCACCAAAAAGTCATGCATATCTGTGTTGTTAGTATCACACATTCAACTCCCAGGCTTCACTCACTTCTCCCTCTCTCTTGATCCTTACTGAAGAAAAGATATAAAATAAGTGTATGGTTTAGGATGGCATCTGGCAAAGAATTTATGATCCAGTGTCTCCCAATGTCCCTTTAAAATTCTAACTTGAAAAAAAAAAAAAAAAAAGAAAACACTAATAATAATAATACTGGAAATTAACTGGTAATACTGGCAATAATAATATTTTTCCACAATTGGAAAGAAATTTTCACTAGTTATGACCTACGGAAGATGCTGTTTCCTTTCTCCCAAAGATTAAGAAAAAAATTACATTGAGAAACGGTTTAATAAAAGAACCAGAAGAAAATGATTTTTATTTCTAAAGAATATCTTCAAAAAGGTACCAAAAGCCATGACCTCTAGGAAATGGAAACAGAAAAGCATAAGCAAAAACAGATAAAGGTGGAAAATGAAAGAGCCATTTCTGAACATAAAAGCTGAAAATGGAGTGTAAAGGAAAAGATTGGCGTACCTTAGTACACACACAAAGTTAAAACTTCACAAACCAAATAAAATACACAAAAGAAGCTGGAAAAATGATTGGCAGTATATATGATCAAAAATAATTAATAGCTTAACTTCATAAATAACTCTAACAATCAAAAAAAAGCCATGAGAACAAAACAAAAAAATACAAATAATTACATAAGAAATGCAATTCTGGTAAACATGAAAGAATTCAGTCTGTTTAATAATCAAAGAAATGCAAATTATTATTCAATGAGATATACTTTATACTTTTATTTAATCAAATGAAAATAGCAACATTGGCAAGGATGAGATGAAAGGAATTCTCTCATACAATGCTAGCCTGAATAAAAATTATTACAACTTTATAAAAGATAACTTTGCTATTTAAATAAAAAGCCTTAAAATACATCTTAATGTTGAAGCCTCAAATTTCAAGAGAACTTGACATTAGAAAATAATCAAATTCTCACCAAAATACACATCAGTTCAAGGTGGCAGTATTTATAAGAGAAAAATCATTGGAAATTAGAATTGGTTAAATAAATCTCATATATAACTATGAAAACTATTTTGCAGTAATTAAAAATTCAGTTCTTGAATCATGTGGAGAAAACGTTTATCTTGAAATATCAATTTTAAAAAGTAGAACCAAACTGATTAAAATTTTGTCAAAGAAAAATTGTAAATATATTACATCTATGAAGAGGTTAAAGGCTGAAGAAGGAAAATATATAAAACTAATTTAAAAAGAGGGTTTCTGGAGAACAAATTATAGGTGTCCTGTTTATTCTTTAAATATTTCTGAATTTTTCCAAATTATCTATAATGAACTTGCACTACTTTTATAATCAAGAATTCTATTTTAAAATCACAGAATTCAATCAGGATGAATTTCTTCCAAAAAAAATCACTAATTGATGATCAAAGAAAGCCAAATAATATGTCCTTGTATAATTACATATATTCATCTATGCAAAAAATGAGTGAATGATATAAATAAAACCATCTGATACTATATTATACCATAGGAACAGCTATGTATTCCTTTAGTTTTTCAAAGAGCGTCTGTCACAGTGAAAATACTCCACATAATATAGTTAATAAGGAGGTTAGCGACGTATTTTTGAAAATTTCTTTTTCGAGGACAAAATGGCTTTGTGATTTTTAATGCTTCCCAGGAAAGACACCTGCACTTAATTTCAGCCTTTCTTCTAAGACCATTTCTTCCATTAGTTTCACCATCTCACTTTTCACAGCAATTATTACAACTCTTCAGAAGCTCTGCAGAACTTAATAAAACAGCAAACATAGTTATATATCCAGCAGTCATTTTAGACAATTAAATGCAGTTTTCAGTTTCTCTACACAAATGTGATAAATTGGAGCCCAGACATTGCTTTGAACTCTGATGAAAGGAGTAATTTCTATTTCAAGCAACACCGTTCCCAATTTAAACTTTGGAAACAATCACTATACAAAGTTGTCTTGACCAATTTATTCCACTAGATGGCAGTCTTGGGATGCTACATGTAACGAAATTGTATAATTTCTGAACATTAACCAAAAGACTAAGAAAAAGCAAGGCTATGGGAAGGTAAAATGAGGTTTAAAATGCTACAATAAGGAAATATAAACAAGCAAGGGGAAAAGATTTAGGAATCACAGCTGAGACTGATAAGGGGAAACAAAAAATGACTAGACTCTCCTATCTGTATTAAGCATGCATTTTCAGATGTATAGCTCACTCCCTTTCTTGCTTTGCTTTCATTAATCAAGTCCTCATAGAACCAGTCCCCATCAGTGAGTGGACCAGGTTCAGTGTGGCTTTGTGATAATCATCTTCTTTGGCTTATGGCTCCCATGCATAGCAAGCAAAATTAGGGATCTAAAAATGCACAGAACTGCTTTGCCCTCTGAAAGGGAAGGGGAAGGGAAGACAAGCAGACACAAGTTAGCGATGCAAGATGGAAGATGGATCATGTTCCTATACCTCCCAAGATACCACTTTATGCTAACTGAATGCTTCACCTTTTTATACTAAAGAAAACTACTTTGAATTAAAATTAGGCCATTTCAGAATCCAAACAGTTTGAGAGCATGTCACTGACTCTTTTTGACTGAAGCAAAAGCTGGAAGGGTATCCTTACAAAGCCTTGAAACTGAAAAACACTTTTTGCCCAGAATAGAGAGGACATGTAACAATACCTCATGCCTCTCATCAGGCTGTGGCATTGCAGGTAACTGCTTAATGTGGCTTTCTATGCTTTTCCTCTTTGGACCCTTACTTTTTTCAGTGCCAGTTATGAAACGGAATTAAGGCTTCAGTTATTTCAGGAATGCCACAGATGAACTCAGCAGCACTAAACCATATGAGAACCCAAGGACAAAGAACTATCACTGAATCTCTAATAATTGGTCCTTATACTTCCACTAAAATCATCACTAATTGGGACTGAATTGCTGGTGCAAAGACTGAGTAGAAATCACCTAATGGCATTCATTTACTGGGTCAAGAAGGATAGTGGTTCTTTAGTTCATTCTTACAAAACCCTGTTAATTCTTTAGTCTCCCCTTTCAAGAATTCATCTAGCACAGTATTTGTCTGTAATTCTTATTAGTAAACCAGAGCAATTCCATAGATGTAGGATAATGGTGTCAGGTAACTGCCTTATTATGAATGTCAGACTGAAGTTTAGGATATGAATTTCTAATTTTAACAAATAGTCAATCAGGATGATAAACATTTAGATAATCCTCAAATGCTAAAAAAAGAAAAAAAGTCATTGAATAGCACATCGTTAGGAATAATGTGCAACAGAATACAAGCATCATCACATACCCTATTACAAAAATTTAGTGACTGTATATTTTTACCTAATCAAACATTTTTATTCAAAGGAAAGTAAATACTTTCCTTATTATCCAAATTGTCCTTCTATATTGCACTAAATGTGTACCCGAAAATTTCAAGAATCTGTATGTATTATGTTTTGAAATTCAATGTACAATAAATCCACTGTAAACTGTAAAATAAATACTTATGTACTTGAACAGAGATGCTCATACAAGCAGATATTGGTATAATATGAATGGAATGAATGAAAATATTAAGAAGTTTGATATGAAAAATATAAGACAATGGATACATTTTTCTTGGGGACTTGGTAGGTCTTCTTAAAAGGCATAGAGGAAAATGTTAACAATTTTGGGAATATTAAAATTTAAAACTTTGTTGCAAAAGGCATAAAAAATTAAAATATAAGAGATTGAGTCAAGTTATTTCTATTGTGCCTTCAAGACAAAGGATTAGAATCCAGAATGTATATAAAGAATACAAATTACCCAACAAAAACAAAGTGGCAAATAATATACCTGGCAAATCTCAGATTAGGGCAAAGTATATAAATATGATCCCAGCTCTTCTGTGAACCAGGGGGAAGGCTAAGGTGAAAGACGACAGTTGAAGGCAGAGGTGGGAATGGAGGGATCAAAGAAGATAATTTCATTTTCTTTGCATCTTCTCAGCTGTTGACTACAATTTTTTTAAACTTTTACTTGTCTATCATTTATTTCAACTTTTGTACATGAATTAACTATGTTTTTAAAAAGTCCAGATTTCCCTAGTTTATTGTATCAAGAAAGCCTTAAACTCTATTCACAATAACTCAGACTCCAATGCCAGGTAGAAGACAAGGTGGTTGAAGGAAAAGAACAGACACTCTATTGTATACAAAGATGTAACAAACATTTTTTAAAAGAACAATGGTCAAGTCTGGCCTTTAGGTATAGATTTGATTCTGCATCATGATGATGAATGAAATTCTGTGTATGGATGCCACTCAAATTCTCAGATATTGTTCTGAGATTCTGACGAAGTGGACCACTTTAAACCAGGTTTATGATCTTCTCTAGGAAAATCATAAGCAACTCAGCCGAGGTTTTACGGGTTGGCACTACAGATTTCCACAAGAGAGCAGCATGTCCTCAGCTTTGAAAAGACGTTGGCGTGTTTTGCTTCTATTCTCCACTCTAGATTTCTTTTTTTCCTCTCATACCAATGGCTGCTAAACCCAAACATGTTTGGCTTCATCTGGGAACACTGATGTGAACATAATACATTCCTCCTCTATGCAAGCACAGGTGAGACTCTACTGGACACATGTTCATCATTTGCAAGAACACAGACCTGACCCAGCATAAAGAATGTGTTAAATGACAATGGGAACAGTGGAGAGCTGTTTGAGATTATGTAATCTCATTCTACACAAGCTGGTAGAATTTTTCTCTTTATTAAGCATTGTTTACCTTCAGAAAATTTATCTTCCTCTCTTAGGTGAGTATATATTCACCAAAAACTTACAGCAACATGTACTGCTTACGTAAATGTACAATAGATGGAGGTACTGTTTTCAACTTAAAAATATATATTTATACAATTTAGCACCTTGCTTCCAAGGCAAATATTAAATTATAATGTTTTCATGTTGACTGAGTACCAAAAAGGTGCCAGGTTCTATAGTTCATATGGAAATAAAGTTAGGAGGGTATTAATAATATAAGAATTCAGTTTTCATTGTCTTTAATTTTAATACACAAAAAGAAAACTGAATTTTGCAGTAAATATATTTTCCAAATTGGTAAATATTATTTTAATCCCAAATCTTACTGACTGCATAGACTACTTATTTTGTAATTTAAGTAATTTTGCTTTAATGAAACATCAAAGAACCTAAAAGTAAAATCCTCTGTTTTTTACCCTTATTATCTATAAAACAGATTTGTTTTGTTGGGTTTTGTTTTTGTTTTAAATTCCCTGAAGCTTGGGTTGTTTTCCAGGGTGAATTATTTACTAATACCTATTACCCTCATAAAAGGAGATTTCCCATCAAACTATTGGCATCCACTAAGTAATAATAACCTAAGAATTCAGCTGTGCAAAAAAAAGCTATCTAAAGGGGCCAGGAATGAATTACTTGTTTCACAGATAATTCTGTCTCTGCACAAAAGAAACAAGGGAGGGCTGCATTGTTCTTTTGATAACAAATAATAGAGACCTTCTCTTATTTTCTCCTTTGCCTGCTCCAGGAATGAAGATGGAAATTTAACGCAAAGCATCCTGGTCCTTGCTCATTATGATTCTGTAAAGTCCTGCCATTTAGGAAATGTGTCTCAATTTCTGTGGAGATGAAGCAGGAAGGTCAGACTGAGCTTTAATCAAGGTATCTCCCTGCTGGGGTAGGAAGGCTTCCCTCCCCTCATATATGTGGCTTTAATTTGACTGCCTTTTTTTTTTTTTTTTTTTTTTATTAAGTGCCTGAAGCCATGTCAGGGTCTGGACGTGGCTGCTATTCACTTAATCCCTGAAGCCCAGTGAGTATACTGATATTGTCATTGACAATTTACTCTTGCGGTATTTTTCTGCTAAACTGGGAGGGATTTTGTTACTGTGCACTATCAAAAATACATGAAGGACTTGCCCCTTATTAAGAGATGCCATGTCAGTTGAGCTAACATTTATAATGAAACCCCAGCAATGAGCAGTCTCCATCCCTCACAGGAAACAAGGAAAAAAGTAGAACTCTTAAATTGCTCTATGCTGCAGGGAGGATTAGCTTCCTCCTGGGGAAAATGTAGTGTGCTATCATGCTATTTTGTTCAAAGGCTTTCCCCTCTTCTCACTGCCTTGGACTCTTTGTCATAGTCTCTCCCCTCACCCTGCCCCACCAGCATCCCCAGTGCACGGGCATGGCCCCCAACCCCTTTGGCAATCTTCTCCATCCCTTTTATTTCTTTTTTTTTGTTTGTTTGTTTGTTTGTTTGTTTTTTTGAGACGGAGTCTCGCTGTGTCACCCAGGCTGGAGTGCAGTGGCGCGATCTCGGCTCACTGTAAGCTCCGCCTCCCGGGTTCACGCCATTCTCCTGCCTCAGCCTCCCGAGTAGCTGGGACTACAGGCACCCGCCACCTCGCCCGGCTAATTTTTTGTATTTTTTTTTTTTTAGTAGAGACGGGGTTTCACCGTGTTCGCCAGGATGGTCTCGATCTCCTGACCTCGTGATCCGCCCGTCTCGGCCTCCCAAAGTGCTGGGATTACAGGCTTGAGCCACCGCGCCCGGCCCCCTTTTATTTCATAAGAGAGAATTTATTTTCTTTTTCCGGTGTTCTAGACGCTATAATTCATTCTGCATTAGGTGGGGAATACTGATTGACTCCCGAGAAGTCTGGAAAGTTAGACATTGATAGTAGTTCTTGGGTTCAGAAGGGTGTCTGTCATACATGCTCCCAGACTTGATACTAGGTATGCCAGCTAAATTTTCCTCTTCAATTTGGAAGTCTCTCAAATCCCGCCAAAGTGGTAGACTATATGCATTGAAAACAAAACTTGATTGCTATTCATCAAGTTTGAAACCATATATGTTCCACCCTGAGGCATTAGACATATGAAATAGTTATGAGTGGGGCAGCCAACCCTACACAAAACCATAGGAATTGGAACCCTGTCATTGCACCTTCCACAACCATTACCCTTGTCAGCCCCTCTCCCGAGGCACCTTTTCTTCCCCATTTTTCCTCTGGCTGGCTATCTGTTGACAGTTAAGGGATAATTAACATCATTTTAAATTAGAAACATTTTCAGACAGGTTAGCAACTGAAAAGTGAGAATCAAGAAAGTTCTTCCATATGGCCTTTGGAAGGCTGCTTACCCAGGTTCTAAATAAAATCTCCAAAGCGACTCCAAGGATGTTGTTTGTAATTAGGGACTTTCAAGGAGGCCAGGAGCTTCTCCATGTTGTCCTCTTTCTTTACTTTAACAGACTTTTCCTAATGAAAAACCTGTCCTTTTGCTAAAAGTACCTTGGACTGAGATATTAATATTAAGAGATTAAGTAACAGTGCTTCAAGAAACAGAAAAAACTATTCTGCTAATGCCACAAATAATCCCCTCCCAACTTTTTGGTTTTCAAAATCACCTGCTCTTACTAGATAACACCTAGACTTTTCTAAACCATTTACAAGAGCCAAACTGTTACATTAGCAAAGTGTCTTGGAAACTCTGTCTCACTTCCCAGTTATCAGCCCCAAGACTGCCCAATATCCAATGTCAAGGGATGCAAAGTTTGATTCTTATCTACAAGTCTTGGCCTTCCTAACCTGATAACAGCCATGTTCTCTCTCAATGTCTATATTCTTACATTTGCTAAGGCTCTTAACTGAGAGCAACAAAATCAGGCTCAAGAGAAGAAAATAAAATTTTTGATAAGATATGAAAGTGTCTACAGAAACTAAGGAAGAGTTGACCAGCAGACCAAGGTAAGGACAGAAACTCAGACGGCAGATGGTCCTCAAGAATGGAATTAGGATCATGGTAGGTCTCCCACCCCATCTCTGCTGTATGTTCTGCAATCATATTCATTCATTCATTCTCTCTCTCTCTCTCTCTCTCTCTCTCTCTGTCTCTCTCTCTTTCTTTTTTCCCCTCACCCCCTCCCCCACCTCTGCTTCTCTCTCAACTGGCATTGTTTTCTCTATTCCTTATGGCAGAAAAATACAATCAACAAGTAGTCTAAATTTTATACAGTATAGGTCTGTCATCTTGGCAAACACAGAATCATCTTCAGAACAAGTTTTAAAATGCAGACAAATACTTTGGCCTATACAAATGTCTTAATTTTAGGATATAAATTGTGTTCAGAAGATGTACTCACATGTCAGTGCACACTGGAACATGGTGGCCAAGAAAAGGTCAAAAAACAGAATGAGTACTTGTGATCAGCTGAATAATAATCACCAAAAAGTATTCAGGCCCTAATCTTTGGAACTTATGGATGTTACCCTTATTTGGCAAAAGTAACTTTACATGTGTGATTAGGTTAAGGCTCTTGAGGTGGGAAGATTATCCTGGATTATCCACTGTGCCCTAAAGGTAATCACAAATGTCCTTATAAGAGACAGGCAGAGTGAGATTCAGTTTTAGAGGAGATGAAAGCAGAAACTGGAAGGATGTTCTTTGAAGACAGAGGAAGAAACCACAAGCCAAGCAATACTGGAGTCTAAAACATGCAAGGAAACGTATATTCCTGGGAGCTCCTGGAGAGTGCACAGCCCTACTAATACCTTGATTTCAGCTTAGTGAACGCCATTTCTTTTTGTTTTTTGTGAGGTTTTGTTGCTGTGGTTGTTGTTTTATTTTTTCATGTGAAAGCCATTTCTGACTCCTATCCTCCATTACTGTAAAAGAATAAATGTGTGTTTTAGGCTATCAAGTTTGTGGTATTTTATTAGAGCAGACATAGGAACCTAATTTAGTAATTCTTTAAAATACAAGAATGGGACTGGGTGCAGTGGCTCACGCCTGTAATCCCAGCACTTTGGGAGGCCGAGGTAGGCAAATTGCCTGAGGTCAGGAGTTCAAGACCAGCCTGGCCAACAAGGTGAAACCCCGTCTCTATTAAAAATGCAAAAATTAGCTGGGTGTGGTGGTAGCTGCCTGTAATCCCAGCTACTTTGGAGGCTGAGGCAGGAGAATTGCTTGAACCTGGGAGACAGAGGTTGCTGTGAGCCAAGATTGTGCCACTGCACTCCAGCCTGGGCGACAGAGATTTCATTTCAAAAATAATAAAATAAATAAAATAAAATACCAGAGGGGGGAGCAATGCAAGGAAAGGAATTCTTAGTAAGACTCTGAGACCTCAATACAAAAGAAGACTATAAATGGTCACTTGGGAGGAAGTTCAAAGAAAAACCAAGTATCGGAGGGAAAACCTAAATAGAGGAAAGAAAGATAAATATAAAGGCTAGAAAGGGCACTAAACTGGAAATTAAGGTTCTGTTCCCAGATCCCTTACTCAGATTATAGTGTAGAATAGGCCCTTTACCTTCTTAGCCTTTGTCTAGGCACCTTGACATGAGGGTTTAAGTGACATAATCCCAAAGGTTCCTGCAGCTTTAAGATTGTATGATGCTAAACCTCTTAAGTTTTGGCCTAGATTTTGCAGTGTTAGCTCCTGGGGGCTCTTGAAGTTTACATTTCTGATTTTGACATGGTAGATATATTGACACAAAATCCAATACAACTATAATGGAAAACCCCAGATGGGCAAGTACAAAATCTCTGAGATTATTTAATAAGAAGGAGAACAAGGGAAACTAAAGGCAAGACCCTTGAGTCAGCTCTGGAAAAAATTTTCACAGTGGACTAACAACCGCTTGTAAAAGCATATGTGAATATTCCTCAAGGAAATCTGGAGACAGTTCTGCAGAGTTGAAAGTAAAACACAAATTTATCAGCACCACTGGAGGGAAAAACACATTCCCTGGTGATGACAGAATTTGTTGGTATAGAACAAATAGCACTTTAAAATAATAAGGTAATGTTTATGTTTGGGGAAATAATTTAAAGATAAACAAATGTGCCTACAATTGGTACATCAAAATTTATTTTGCCCCTAAATTCCTCATCTGTGTTCCTTTTGTTGGTTAAAATCATAGCAATTCTAACAAAAGTTACTAGATATGTGAATCCTTATAAGTATGGCCATAAATTGTGTTTCAAAAATCTTCAAATTATTTGCATAGTTCTGTCATCATATGGAAATGCGAAATGTTTGTTCTGTCTTGAAACCGTAATAAAAAGAAGACAAGCTATGTATGTGCCTGTTCAGTATTGCATTCAGCTGAGTGTAACAGAATTCAAGCTGTAATGGTTTAACGAAAGTGGGAAATCTCTTCTTTGATTAGAGTAAGTCCAGATGTAGGCAATTCCGGGTTAGTCCAAGGATTTCACAACGACATAAGTCTCAACTCCTATTCTTCTGCTCTGTCATCCTCGCAAATGGCTTTGCTTTACATTACTGACCCATAGCACAAGATAGCTGCTCCAGCTTCAACTCACTCTGCATTCCAAGCAGGAAAAAGAGATGAATGCAAAGGGCAAATGGTTTATTAATCCCTTTCAAAAGCTTTCCTCAAAGCAACATCTACGCACATTACACTGCTAGAACTATGTCCCTCTTTACACATCCCCAGTTGCAAAAGAGGCTGGCCAAAGCAATTAAAAAAAAAAAAAAAAGGCTGAGCACTTGCTTTCTTAAAAAACATCAGAATTTGTTTTACAAACAAAGCACAGGATAATGAATATTAGGTAGACAACTAAAATGTCTGTCAAATTCTTGAAAAATTGTCAACCATTTTATTTGCCTCAGTGAAGTGATCATTAGGGTTTCTCTTATAATCTCTTTTTAAGGAAGACTTTTAAAGAAAACTTTAGATTTTAAGATTATTTTTTAACTTTTATTTTAAGTTCAGGGGTACATGTGGAGGATGCACAGGTTACATATGTGGATGTGTGTCATGGGGGTTTGTCGTACAGATTATTTCATCACCAAGGTATTAAACCTAGTATCCATTAGTCGTTTTTCCTAATCCTTTCCCTCCTCCCATTTTCCACTCTCTGGTAGGCCCCAGTGTGTGTTGTTCCCCTCGATGTGTCTATGTGTTCTCATCGTTTAGTTCCCACCTGTAAGTGAGAACATGTGATATTTGGTTTTATGTTTTTGCATTAGTTTGCTAAGGATAATGGCCTCCAGTTCCATCTGTGTCCCTGCAAAGGACATAATCTCATCTTTTTTATGGCTACATAGTATTCCATGGTGTATATGTACCACATTTTCTTTATCCAGTCTATCATTAATGGGCATTTGGATTGATTCCATGTCTTTGCTATTGTGAATAGTGGTGCAATGAACATATAC